ACAATTTAGATTTTCAGTACAAATCGGCAATTTCATACTTTAACCCCTATTAGATGGATAGATAGAAAGAACACGTTTATACAAACAAACATATATATACAAACAGACACGAAACATTTACAATCACTTCACAAAGTATAACACAAAATCACCTAGAACATACATTATTAATTTAATACACATTTATATATAAAACACATACTGTGATAAAAACAAGTACGGTGAGAGAAGCAAACAAACAAATACTGTGAAAATTAACAAAATTTTATGTATGACTATAGTTTGTGCTGAAATGGCCCAGCCTCAGCATAAATATTATACCGTGAAAAGTAAACAAATGATATAGTGACCAGGACAGGGTCGGGATCAGTGAGCATATTGGACGGGATGCTTTTATGGTTTCGTCATATAGAAAGAATGAATGTTGGTAGACTGACAGCCATGGTTATATACTCGATGGTGAGAGCACTTTATAGAGCGAATGTGGATGGAGGCGAGGGGAGAGGTAGACCTCGACGTATATATCTCAATAAGATTAGCGATGTCCTTAAAAAGGCCAAGAATAAACGGACAAGTATGAAGAGACTGATGAGAGTGAAGGAGGCGAAGGAGGTTTGTCAGGAGCGTAGCAGGTGTATGTGTGTATGTATGTATCTCTTTATAAAAAATGGGAAATTATTCGTCCTAGAGAAAACGCGAACACATACTTCTAAACTTCCTTTTCTAACCATTATGTTACTTAACAAATGTACATACTTTTATTTCGTTCGGCATAAAAGGGCATCGTCTAATAAGTCTTTGAATTTTAAAGTTTCAAATAAAAACGTTGATTCATTCATAACAATACCTATGTTCAATAAATGAAGGAAACACATAAATTTTCTTTCTCACTGAGATGATGTCAAATGTGCCTTTAAAAACTTAATGGCCTAGCTTTAAAGGATCATTTGTCAATCAGGTTCTTAATATTCATTACTATCGGTAAATAGAGATCAGCGTTTGATCACCTGATGCGGAAACAGACATACAGCAGTGGTATATTGGTTGATTTGTTTACGAACCCTTGGTCTTGGACGCTTCACACATTTACTTATCACATTTTAAATACGAAATGGTTGTTTAGGCCCTGAAGCGTTTGGTGCGTATGAGGTAGACGCGGAGAAATTCTTTGCACGATATTTTTAAACATTTTACCTTCTAGAAATAAAATATACTTTGTGTTAAAATAAGCTCTTAGTGCGGACTAAGACTAGAGGTAGTTGGATTTATTACGGAACACAGGAGAGAAAATTTTATTGAAATGTCTTTAGTAACAATACATTGGGCGCACTATAAGTTTCCGGAATGAATAAGAAAAAAATACTATAAATAGTCAGAAATGAATTTATTGTTTCTCAAAGTATTCTTCGTTAGCGTTAATGCACTTTTTCATACGAATGAACCAATTTTGAAAACACTCCTCCACTCCACTCCCTAACAATCTCAGAAACATACTCTTCGACAGCCTCTTCAGGTGATGAAAATCGTTGACTGCGTAACTGGTTCTTAATTTTTGGAAATAAATAAAAATCACAAGGTGCTAGGTCGGGACTGTACGCGGGATGGCTCTTAACGTCAACGTTGTTCCCCTTCAAAAATTCATTTGCCTGTCCGGCCGTGTGAAAACTGGCATAATCGTAGTGCTAGATAATACGGCGTTTACGGTTATTTTTACGGAGTTTATCAATAACTTCTGGCAAACAAATGGTCGTGTACCAATCACTATTCACGGTACAACGATTCTCCAAAGCAACAGTAGCCACGTGACCAGTTTTATTAAAAAAGGAAGCAATCATCCGCTTAGAGGCACTTTGCACGCGCGCCACTTTGGTTGGTTTCGGCTCATCTTGAAAGACCCATACGCTCGATTGCTGCTTTGTTTTGGGATCGTAACTACAATCCATATTTCGTCACCTGTTACTATGTTCTACACCAAATTTGACGCCCCTTCGTTGAATCTGGTAATCATGGCATTGCACCAAGTGACGCGATCCGTTTTATGAGCCTTAGTCAAATTGTGTGGGATCCACCGAGAGCACAGCTTTTTCACACCCAAATGTTTATGTAGTATTGATTGTATTTGACTCATGCCTATGCCTAAAGATGCCCGAATCTCATGGTATGTCACATGCCAGTCTGTTTTGATCATACGGCGCACAGTATCGATGTTTTTGTTGTTCACAGCAAAGAACGGGCGACCATCACGAAATTCGTCACTGAGATTCACACGACCGCGTTTGGATTCTGCAAACCAGCTATAAATAGTCGTCTTGCATGGTGCTTCATCGCCAAAATCAGTTTGAAGCCGAGAGAAGCTCCGCTGAGCTGTTACATTACACTTAAAAATCGTAGATAATCATGCTACGAAAATTTTCACGAATTAAATTCATGGTGATGTAGACAACCAATTTCTAAAATGACGCTACAATGCAAAAAGAAGTGACAGTCAGATGAAAAAAACTGTATTCTATAGCCAAAGAGATCCATTTTTAAGTGTTGTAATTACTTTTTAAATATTGTTTATGTAAGTGGCCAGTTCCGAAAACTTTTGGGGGGGGGCCATGTGTAGAATGAAACTGATTTTTTCGTAAATATGAAAATTTTGCGGATCCTTGTGATTTATTTTTATCGAGCGCTGTTTCGCCAATTGTGTTTTGGATCCCATAGTCCACTACCGGTATCTTCTGTTTCCATTAACAATTAATAACATAATTGTAACTTCTTCATTGAAAAAAAAATTACCTCAAAAGTTTGCTTATCGGCTTTTTTGACTTCCATGGGACTCCCTCATCAGATACTGATTTCTTTTGATGATTGTGACGGTGATTTATTGATTACATGTATTGTGTCAAGCGAAAAGTCGACTTTCATTTGCGGATAATATTTTTTTAATTTGTGATAGCCGAAACGAACCCGGAACAGCTTCCTCGGCATCAGGGACCACCTCGAGAGTGTACTCATTCAAACAAAAAAAAGAATATTCAAAATCGTCCACAATTGATGGAGAAATAGGTATGTACACTGACAAGCCTATACAATTTGAGGATTATCCTCGATTTTCATGGATCCCATCATCAGATTCTGATTTGGTAACAATGGGACCACTGCGGGAGTGCACCCTTTCAAACAAAAAAGAATTTTCAAAATCGGTCTGCAATTGACGGAGAAATCTGAAAACATCCGAAAACAAACAGCCGAACGTATAACTTCCTACTTTTTTTTGAAGTCGGTAAAAAACAAGTTAAGACCATATTTGTAATGTCGAAAAACCGATTTTTCGTGTGGTTATTATATGTCAATATCTATCAATATCAATATATTTGATATTCACGTGACCAAAAAGAGCATACATACATATTTTGTAAGTGACTCGGCACTTACGCAGTTTAAACATATCAATACAGTCGGTATCGGACTGGTGCTGGCAAAAATGAAATCATAGCATAGATAATAAGGCTTTTTATTTGTATGTACAATTAAATGCTTTTGTCCTGGATTTTTATAGTTTACATTTCTGATTGTAACCATGAAACATATGAAGTTACTCTGGCGTAGACTGAAGGGGCACCGTTGTGGCAGCCTTGAGTAGAACCGAAGGAAACGACGCCGATCTGCGAAAAGAGAGACAACGTTTACAATAATTTTCTTAAATTGATAAATGAAAAAAATTCAATCCATGTAACAAAGTGTAAACAAAATAAAATTAAGGACTGGAAAATATTTATGTTTTTGTGAATAAACAAAAGAAGCTTATTACAGAAACTAGCTTATGTCGTACCAAGATATTCCTGCCGGCTCTGTTAAGAGCAAGGGGACCGCCAGAGTCTCCGTTGCAAGCGCCGACGGTGCCAGATCCGCTGGTGCAGATGTTAGTCGCGTGGACGAGAATCGGGAAAATTACATCACTGGCCGAGCAAAGTAAGTTCGACATCACACTCAGGTCGTTGAATTGCAGGGTCTGGCTAGCTCCGCCACCTGGGTTATTGTATAAATTATTAAATTATAAAACATACAGTAGCGATTCAATCGGTAATTGTTATACCTTTACGCACATGTGCGCCTTAAGTAGAGGTACAATCGCGATGCAAACGCAATACTCGTTTTTAATCTAGAGTCGCGATGCAATCGCGCGTTTGTGTCGCTGCTAAAAGGCGTCGTGTGTAACAAGCTCTAAGAAGATTTTATGTTAAATTTACTTTGGAAAATTATACTGGTAACTCTTATTGTTTACTTACCTGGAGCAGTGACTCCAAATCCGGAAACGGTGGCAATAGCTCCAGTGAAGGTCTCGCTTAATTCGCTTCCAGTGGGCAGGCTAATGGGTGCAATGTTATCTGAAATAAAACAGATATATGTTTTCTTGTTTCCATGTGATGAACAAGTTTAAGAAATATATATTTACAACATTTATTTTTATTCAATATCACGATATTTACTATCATAATATTAAATTATTTTTGTGAAATTACTCCACTAGTTAAGTTAATACAAAGATCGAACAAACACAAACAAAACTTCCATCCATAGACGCTGGTTCGAGTCCAGTTGGATCGAAGGAATTTTTCTTTGTGATTGTTCGATCTTTGTATCTATAATAATATGTATTTGACCAAACTAGTTTATCTAAGGTGTTTTGCATATAGAAAATAAAATCTCACTTGTAAACGCTACTGAATTGCTCAGAACAATAACAGCAACGTCGTTACGTATTAGCCACGGGAACCATTCCGGGTGCATCCTGACCGTAGAAGTCGTCTGGGTAACGCCATCGGATCCGAAGATGAGAACCGTACCCAGCCTCACAGACAGACTTGCAGCTTGGTTGATACCGTCAAACCAGCAGTGAGCAGCCGTGATCAACCTATTAGCGCTAACCAAAGACGCGCCGCAGATACCCGTGCCTACTTCGGGAATTTCAATTAGTAAACCAGCCTGTAAAAAAAATTACGATGTAAAAAAGTGCAAATGTTGTGTAAAATTTGTTAGATTATATAATTGTGTAAGAAGTACTCTTTGAGTCTTGGATATTCGCATTTATAAACCTGGAATAGTGGCTCACTATTCTTAAACAATACATATTTTATTTGCTTTAAGTTTCAAGAAAACGTAACCAAGTCTAAAACGTTGCTATATTTTCTTACCTGCCATGGGATTTGTCCAAGTGCAGCAGCAGCGCCTCCGACAACTCTCTGTTGTTTAACGAGATCCTCTTCAAACGCGCGGCGCTGATCAGCGAGGGCCACACTCTTTCCTAGGTAGTTATAAGCTGTTGTGAAGGGCAGCTCTTCGAAAACCCTTGCCTGAGCGTAAGCCGCGAGCACCAACAAAGCGACCAATGTGAACTTCATCGTGGAAGATTATTGCCGGAGTAAGCGAATGCATTGCGGAAGGTGTATTTATATCTTGGTGAAAAAGATTAGATAGCAGTAAAGATATTACAATTAAGCGACTTAGTCTCGGATATTAATTATCGATTACGAGTGAAGGTCTTATTGTACATTTTCTATGTTCAGGTATGGTACACCAGATTTGAGTAAATAAAAATCAAGGTGAATGAATTGGCTAATGGGTAATAAATACAGACGATTGAACATGAAGTTCATTTTGTTTATGATAACAAATGACGGGAAGAACAACTCACTTTAGCAATCAAATTTTATGTAAAACTATTTAATACGTACCTAACATAACTTTTTCCTAATTTTTATATACCGAAGAATGCAAGATATATACAGAGTTACGAACACATTAAGCTGGACACTTAAGATTTAAAATTCAACTCTACAGCGCTTACAATGAGAATGATCCAAAGTTTTGGACTTTCAAGTCAAGTTTTTGGCTGGACCGTAATTGATATTTACCCCAGCTTTCGTTTACTGGTTTTAACTTATAAGTTATACATACAAAACACGATTCATGGTTAACTTATAAGTAGTTAATATCACCATCGTGATAATAACAAGTCGTCAGTTTGAATACTGAAAATATCTCAATGATATTACGATATGATATGATCTCAAGTGACGGGACGAACAACTCGTGCATAGTGGCAAGCGACACCCCTGTCCACAACAGTTGCAGTGCCGCTCAGACCTTTAAATCACAAAGATCTGAGGGGCACTGCCACGGCGCCTGTCACCCTGAGACATAAGTTGACAAGTCCCACGTGCCTGCCATTTCATCAGCACCCTAACGATTCAAAACGGAAACGCAGTAATGCTCACATTACTGCTTGGCGGTAGAAATAGGTAAGGTGGCAGTACTTCTTTGAACGAGCTGTTTCACAAGGAGCTCTACTGCTACTCAAGTGTTATTACGATGATATATTTTTACTTTTCGAATGAATGAGTTCGAATGAGATGACTGACATCATTTACTTGGTTAGCGTACGTCTACAATGTGGATCTTCGCATAAAAACTTGCTAAATATTTTCATAATACATATGGAAGAGGAACGTTATCTTTTGTAGTGTGGTGCAAGCATCAACGGCGCATTTTGAACTCGAGGGAGGGACTGTCAGTCAGTGGGACGACCGTAACAACCCAAACATTAACGTCCATTTAATACTGACCTACCCTTTTTAGGCACTCTCTTATATAATAGGCCATAGTTAGTTGGCGCATCAACCTCACTTCACTCGTTAGTTATGCTGGCATTGTATTCAGATTCTATGTGAATTCACTAGGATGCGACTTATTGTTTATTTTACGTGGTATTTGTATGACAATGGAATAAGAGACAATTTCGTGTTTTATACACAATTTTTTTGCTTTGTTGAATTTCAGTTGTAGTTTTGAATATTGATTATTAACTTTATGCATCAATAACTTCGATGGTAGAGGCCACGTTTAAACCGAATTATGTACCTATAATTTTCAACATGTTCAAATTAGTTTACTGAAGCAATAAAAACTTAGAGTCAAATTCATTATTCAATTATTATTTATGCAGTCATGTCAAATTCAACTAACAATTAAACGTTCGAATATTATATCATACCCTTGGTAAAGCTAAAGTGATCATACGTGAACAGTGCTTTTATCACACGAGGCATAAAAATATTACGTACTACACGAAACAAATTATATTTATATGATATTTTATAGCTCTCTATAACAAAAAAGTTATCGACCAATTTGTTTCGTACAATCTTTAAACCTCTTTTCTAAAATGTTGTCATTTTACAGAAGTGGCCTTGTTATACTAAGGCTCAATTTATATTGCGGCGGAACGGAATGGAAGTGAATTTTTGTAACGATATTGTACATAGTATAATGAACTTTATTGTCAATTGTGTAACGTGCAAACCAAATACGAGCCAATATCTTAAATCGCGCAATCGCGAGAATTCCACAGAAGGTTTCGGCTCGTATCTAGTTTGTACGTTACACAATTCACCATAAAGTTCATTATGCAATGTGCAATATCTTTACAAAAATTCGCTTCCATTCCGTTCCGCCGCAAAATAAATTAAGCCTTAGGGTGCAATATTATAGTACTGCGCATTTGACAGAAATAATAATAATAATAATAATAATAATAATATTAATGCACACACTCAACATAGCACAACGCACTAGGAAACCCTGGGTACTGTGGACACACCATAGACAACCACAAATTACACCCAAACTCACGAGAGAAATAAATGTAGGCCATACAAATATTCCTCCCGGCCCGCGAATCGAACCTGGGACCTCTGCGTGGCAGTCCGGCAAATGGTAATCGTTCGGCCATGGAGGCAGTTATCAGATAGTTATATCATAAATCCTGTATGAATTTCTGCCCTCCTCGTCTTAAACAACGCATTTGGATTTTGGTAACTTTCGATATATTGGTCTCTTATGTTTTTTCTTTGAAAAAAGTCAATTACGCTGAGTTTGCTAAAAATAGAACTGAAACTAAATAAGATATAAAATAAAACTGCTTGTAAGGAGTGGTAGATCTTGTTTCGCTCATTCCAGATGTGTTAACAACTCAATTTCGCTAAAAATGTCGATTAGGTGCTTACGACTAGGACTGCAGAATTGTTCAGTAAGTCAATGATTAGATTTCTAAATTATTACTACATAATTTCCGGTTTAGCAGTTAGGAGCCGATATTGGTCGGGCCTGTCGTGTAGCAGAAACAATGCGTTTTGATTGGGCGCCTCAGGCAGACATGGCACTGGCTTGTTAACTTAGAGCTTGAATTTTAGCTGCGTTTCAATCCTGTCCTATTTCAATCTACGCTGTGTATGTCGTCTAGTTTCCATTTAGCTGTCAGTTCAAGAGACGATAGGACTGAGGTAATCTTTTTATGGACAGTTAATCTAAGTTTTTGTTAAGTACTTTCTTATGTATACATTAACTTCTATTTCTTAGATGCATAAGTTTTAAAGTATTTTCTTTAGTAAATCTGTGCAATATTGCTAAATGTTTTAAAACAATGTGACGGATGTTATTATAAAATATTTTATGATTCTATTTGTACCTTATTGTCCGCATGTAGTGCCTGTATATGAAATCCAGGGGACAGTGGCACTGACAGGATGAGTGCATTTCCGTGTTCACAATGATTTTTTAAGTAGCCTCCAAAGCGTTTCCCGTGCTATTGGCATTTTATTGGCTGCCACCTGGACTCTGAGGGACATATTTTTATTTTATTTTCAACTTGTTTGAGTATATGCGCTTCATTTCACTGTTTAGTTAAATAAAGCAATGGTTATGAATACTTACACGTACACTTTCTACCAAACTATTGTTTCTTCTTAGTGCGTAAATATAGTTGGTTTCTTTACTCAAATAACTCAGAGAAACGTTTCTAGGAACGAAGGAACTCAGGCAAATTTAATAAGTAAAATATGTTAGTTTTCTGTCTCTATTGCACTCCCGTGTAACGTGTTATGTTGTCTCGATTTCGGTTCAGGCGATGAGCCGCGTGCCTCTGACGTTTAATAAACTTGCACGTCAGATTATAGAGTTCATGGTGATATGTTTTTAGAGACACTGCGCGAGACGTTTTGACACTTTAACCGAGAATATTTTTTAATCTCGCGGACATGATTTGTCTGTTTCAGCTAGTACTGTCAGTATACGAGGAAAAGTTTTCTTATTAAGGTTTGTTGGCGTAAAAGTGACGTAGGATTTACAACTGGTAATATTGTGTAAGAAAAATATTGGGTATAATCCAAAATTAGAACTGGGGCTTTATAATTCATTATGTATATTTATCGAAAAGAATCGCAATTGGAAAAATCTTCAAAAGCGTTCGTACGTTCGTAACGCTAAGACGGTTGAATCGTGGTTCTGGAATGACGTGAAGATGTTAAGTTCTTGAGCGATGCGTGCGCGGCGTAGCGCCTATGCTAGCCTACGCGGTACCCTTCGTCGTAGCAGCTATGCTACGCGCACTATTTAAACAATTTTATATTTTAACTGTGCTTCTACAACAATGTTATAACCAGAATTGTGCAATATTTGAAAGTATTGTAATGTTTATGTTAAACATATATAGTGAAATAAATAAGTGTATGTTCCCCTATCCTAATTTTAGTTAAAAATAATAGCTGTACAATTTGATTTTAAATGTCCTTATTGAATGATTAAAGTATGTAGTAAAAAGGTTTCAAATACCATTTCAGTATCGAGGTTGGTTTTTCCATAAAGCAGGTATTAGCAGGATATTATCTGAGTGGGCGCAATTATCGCGGTAATTAAATCCGTCGGCTATGACTAATTTATTCGATAACAACGGCACAACGGTACTTGACTTGGAACTGCCGCAAGGAGCTCTGAAACTAATAATTACGGTTTGTTTTATTTTTCAACAGTTAGAGACCAATGCATACAATATTATATCACATGGTTGACACTTTTAACTAGACCGCATTCCAAAATTATGTGCACACAAAATTAAAAAAAAAAAAAATAATGTAAATGGAAAAAAATATACGCTATATTAGAATTTAAAAAATCATATACTAGATATATGTATATTACAGCCTATAGTTAGTTTAGCATTTATGCCTGTTAAAAGTTGCAACATCAACCAGGGAGTGGAAAAATTCTATTTTAATCTGTAGAATTTTTGTCATGTTACTCTCAGTAAATCTAAGAGTAACATGATCTCTCGTCACGAGCACACAAGCGGTTTTGATGGGAATCGTTCCAGTTAGCTTGAAACTTTACGCCTGGTGCAAACTTCTACAGTTAAATTTGGTTACCCAAGATCCGGTGCGATTACAAAACACTTTGTTAAAAACCTGTAAGCGTAAAATACTCGAAATTACAACTCAGTATCTTTAGTATAATAAGGCTTTTATATAATAAGTATGTGATCATACGTCAAATGTGCTTTTATCACATAGAAGTGATATAAATATACGAAGTACA